TGAGGCTGATGATTCCATTGATATGAGGTATGAAAGTCCCCCAAGGTATTGCTGCTGATTTCTCCTTTGAGGTGTGTTCGTATATGCTCTACATATTTAGTTGCTCCTCTCTTGGCCAGGTAAATATTTACAAATGTTGCATCCTCTGTTTGGATTGATTCCTTTATCATTATGTAATGCCCTTCTTTGGCTCTTGTTACAGTGTTTGGATTTTTTTTTTTTCTCCTCCATTGGACTGAGAATCAGAAGATCATTTGTTAGCTCTGAAGCCTTGAACAAAACACACCCCTTCTCTAAGTCTGTTTTTTTTTTTCCTCTCTATAAAATAGAAACAAATTCTTCTCCCAGGACCATTATCGGTGACTCAAATAAGAGAATGTGTATAAAAGTGCTTTGTAAACTATAGGTAATGCCCAAATATGAAAAGTTACAATGCGCATGATTATGCAACAGCCAAATGTTCAGGATAAGATTTTTTTTAAGACATAATTATTTATTTTATTTTAGAGAGAGAGAGAGAGAGTGCACACGCATATGCTAGAGAGGGGAGGGGCAGGGGCAGAGGGGGAGAACGAATCCTCAAGCAGACTCCCTGCTGAGCGCAGAACCTGATGCGGAGCTCTATCCCAGGACCTTGGGATCATGACCTGAGCCGAAATCAAGAGTCAGCTGCTTAACTGCCTGAGCCACCCAGGCGCCCCAGAATAAGATTAAAAAAAAAAAAAAAAAGTATCTATTGAGGGCTTACTGTTGTAGGTACTATTCTAAGTGATCTGTATCTCATTTAATTTTAAAAACTATTCTTAAATTTTTTTAAAATAAAAGCTATGCTAAAAGTAAATATTCATATTATCCTTGGAGTTGGGGAAACAAGGCACAAAAGAGGCTAATAGTAGGGATGCCTGGGTGGGTAAGTCAGTGAAGCATCTGTCTTCGGCTCAGGTCATACCCCAGGAGCCCCATGTTGGGCTTCCTGCTCAGCTGGAAGCCTGCTTCTCCCTCTCCCTCTATCCCTCCCCCTGCTTGTGCTCGCTCTCTCTTGCTCTCTCTGTCAAATAAATAAATCAAATTTTAAAAAAAGAAGTAACTTGCTCAATGTCATAGTAAATATTAGAACCAGATACAGACCTGAGTGTCTGACTCTGAAGTCTGTTCTTTCTTTTTTAAGTTTGCCAAATATATACATATCCCTCAAAATATCATAGATTAAATTACTTTAGCCTTTCTCAAAACATTGAGCATCGGAAGATGCTAGTATTCAGGGCACCTGGCTGGCTCTGTCAGTGGAGCATGCGACTCTTGATCTCAGGGTTATGAGTTTGAGCCACGTTGGGGGTACAGCTTACTTAATTAAAAAAAAAAAAAAAAAGATGCTATAATTGGGTTTATTTTCTTTTTACTTTTGATCCCTTCACCCATTTCTCCCACCTCCAACCCCCTCACTCTGGCAATCACCTATCTGTTCTATCTATGAACTCAGTTTTTTGTTCTTGTTTTGTTTGTTTTAAGGTTCCACGTCTAAGTGAGTTATAGTATTTGTCTTTCTCAGTCTGACCTGTTTTACTTAGTTAGCATAATGCCTTCAAAGTCCATCCATGTTGGAAATGGAAAGATTTCATTCTTATTACGGCTGAGTAGTATTCCATTGTGTGTATCTACCACAATTTCTTTATCCTTTCATCCACTGATGGGCACTTAGGTTGTTTCTGTGTTTTCATTATTGTAAATAATCCTGCAGTAAACAAAGGGGTGCATACACCTTTTTGAGTTAGTGTTTTCATTTTCCTCACATAAATACTCAGAAAGGGAATTGCTGGATCACATGGTCGTTCTATTTTTAATTTTTTTGAGGAACTTCTATACTGTTTTCCGTAGTGGCTGCACCAAGTTACACTCCCACTAGCAGTGCACAAGGGTTTTCCTCTTCTCCACATCTTCACCAGCACTTATCATTTCTTATCTTTTTGATAATGGCCATTCTAACAGGTGTGAAGTGGTGTCTCATTGTGCTTTTGATTTGCATTTCCCTGCTGATTAATGATGTTGAGCATCTTTTCATGTTCGTGTTGACCATCTGTATGTCTTCTTTAGAAAAATGTCTATTTGGATCTGCCCATTTTTTTAATTATTGTTTGTGCGGTTGTTTGTTGTTTTTTGGTTTGGTTTTGCTTTGTTTTGCTGTTTGCATGGGTTCTTTATATTTTGGATATTAACCCCTTATCAGATCTATGATTTGCAAATGTTTTCCCATACAGTAGGTTGCCTTTTTATTTTGTTGATGGTTTCCTTTGCTGTTTGGAAGCTTTCTAGTTTGATGTAGTCCCACACTTTTCTTTATTGCTTTTACTTTTGGTATCAGGTTAAAAAAATCACTACCAAGACCTACGTCAAGTCGTTTTTCCCTTATGTTTTCCGCTAAGAGTTTTATGGTTTCAGGTCTCATATTCAAGTCTTGAATCCATTTTGAGTTGATTTTTGTGTATGGTGTAAGATAGTGGTGCGGTTTCATTCTTTTGCATGTGACTGTCCAGTTTTCCCAGCACCATTGATTAAAGAGACTGTTCTTCCCCCCTTGTATATTCTTGGCTCCTTGGTCATAAGGTACTGGACCATAGATGTGTGGGTTTCCTTCTGGCCACTCTCTTCAGTTCTGGTGATCTGTGTGTCTGTTTTTATGCCAATACTAGATGGTTTTGATTACTCTAGCTTTGTAATCAGTGAGTGTGATGCCTTTAGCATTGTTCTTCTTTCTCTAGATTGCTCTGGCTATTCAGAGTCTTTTGTGGTTTCATACAAATTTTTGGATCCTTTGTTCTATTTCTGTGAAAAATGGAATTAGAATTTTGATAGAAATTGCATTGAATCTGTAGATGGTTTGGGGAAGTATGGACAACTTAACACTATTAATTCTTCTAATCCATGAGCATGGAATATCTTTCCATTTACGTGTGTTGTCTTCAGTTTCTTTCCTTAACTTCTTACAGTCTTCAGTATATAGGCTTTCACCTCCTTGGTGAAGTTTATTCCTGGGTATTTTATTCTTTTTTTGATGCAACTTCAGGTGGGATCATCTTCCTAATTTCATTTTCTGATAGTTCGTTATTAGTGTATAGAAACACAACGGATTTTTGTGTATTGATAATTGTATCCTATACCTTTACTGAATTCAATCTTTAGTTCAAGCAGTTTTTCAGTGGAGTCTTTAAGGTTTTCCTTATATGTCATCTGCAAATAGTGACAGTTTTACCTCTTTCCAGTTTAGATGCCTTTTGTTTATTTTTCTTGCGTAATTGCTCTGCCTAGGATTTCCAATACTATGTTAAATAAAAATGGCTAGGAAAGATTAGGAAAGTTCTTAACTTAGAGGATCTTAGAGGAAATAGTAACAGCTGAAACTTTTCACTATTGGATGTGATGTTATCGGTGGGCTTGTCATATGTGGCCTTTATCATGTTGAGGTATGTTCCCGCTATACCCACTCTGTTGAGAATTTGATCATGAATGGATATTAAATTTTGTCAAATGCTTTCTCTGCATCTCTCAAGATGATCGCATGATTTTATTCTTCATTTTGTTAATGTGATGTATCACTTTGATTGATGTGTACGTGTGAACCATCCTTGCATTACTGGAATAAATCCCACTTGATCATAGTATATGATCCTTTCAGCATATTGGTGAACTTGGTTTGCTAGTATTTTGTTGAACATTTTTGCATCTATGTTCATCAGGGATTTTGGCCTGTAATTTTCTTTTCTTGGGGTATCCTTGTCTGGTTTTGGTATCAGGGTAATGTTGGCCTCAGCAAATGAGTTTGGAAGCTTTCTTTTCTGTTTTTTGGAAAAGTTTAAGAAGGATTGGTATGAATTCTTCTCTGAATGGTAGAATCCACCATTAAAGGCGTCTGGTCCTGGAACTTGGTTTTTTGGGAGGTTTTAAATTGCTGATATGATGAGGGACGCCTAGGTGGCTCAGTCGTTAAGCGTCTGCCTTCGGCTCAGGTCATGATCCCAGGGTCCTGGGATCGAGTCCCACATCGGGCTCCTTGCTCAGTGAGGAGCCTGCTTCTCTCTCTCCCTCTGCTACTCCCCCTGCTTGTGCTCTCTCTCTCTCTCTCTGACAAATAAATAAATAAAAATCTTTAAAATAAATAAATAAATAAATTGCTGATATGATGAGCACTGGGTCTTCAGTTATGTAAGTGTTGAATCACCGAATTCTGTTCCTGAAACTAATATTACATTGTGTATGTCACTGATTAGAATTTATTTGTTTATTTATTTATAAGATCTTATTTACTTATATGAGAGAGAGGGACAGACAACACGAGCGGGAGGGGCAGAGGGAGAGGAGAGAGTCTCAAGCAGACTCCTTGCTGATCTTGGAGCCCAACACAGGGCTCAGTCCCAGGACCCTGAGATCCCAACCTGAGCCAAAACCAAGAGTCGGACACTCAACCGACTGAGCCACTCAGGCGCCCCAACTAACTAGAATTTAAATAAAAACTTAGCATAAAAATAAATAAATAAATTGCTGATTCTTTGAGGTTGTCCACATTGTTGCTGTGTACTGTTCACAGTAGTCCCTTTGAGCTTTTGGTTTTTTGTGGTGTCCGTTGTCATATCTCCTCTGTCATTTCTGATTTTAAGTCCCCTCTTTTTTTTTCTTGGTGTGTGTAGCCAAAGGTTTGTCAATTTTGTTATTTTTTTTTTTAGATTTATTTATTTGTGAGAGAGAGAGAACGCGCACACGAGGGAGAGGCAGAGGGAGGGAGAGAATCTCAAGCAGACTCCACGCTGAGTGCAGAACTTGATGCAGGGCTCGATCTCAAGACCAAGATCATGACCTGAGCCAAAATCAACAGTCAGACACTTAATCAACTGAGCCACCCAGGCGCCCTGATCTTTTCTCTTTTTTTTTTTGGTCCCTCTTTCATTTATTTCTGTTCTGATTGTTCTTTCCCTCCTTCTACTGACTTTGGGCTTCGTTTCTTTTTCTAGGTCACAAGGTGTCACGTTAGCGTGTGTGTTTGGGACTTCTCTTGCTTCTTGAGGCAGGCCTGTATCGCCATAAACTTCCCTCTTAGGACCACTTTCGCTGCGTCTCACAAATGTTGGTATGTGTTTAATTCTGTTGAATTCTGTTTTGTCTGATTATAGCTCTTCCAGCTCTGTCTTGGTTCCCACTTGCACAGAACATCTTTTCTGTCCCATCACTTTTGGTCAGTGTTGTCCTTAGGTCCAAAGTGAGTCATTTGTGGGCGGCACATGGATGGGTATTGTGTTTTCAGCCACTGTATGTCTTTTGATTGGACATTTCACCAAGTTCGTTTTAAATCACTGTCAACTGTGTTCAGCTAGGGGTTTGCGTAGGCCAGTTGACTTGAATAAAGAAACCCAGACACTGGTTTCGTCTCTCCTTTGACTTTCACCTTGGAGTTATTTGTAATAACAAAGACTGTTTATTGAGTCCCTCCTATGTGTGAGGCCATTGCTGCGTGTTGACCCACTTGATCCCTTCTGTAACCCTGCGTGAGAGGGACGATCCTTTTCCCCATTCTAGAGGTGAGGAAGCTAAAGCTCAGAGAGGCTCAATCTGTGCGTCTAGCAACTGTCTATGGAGCTCGGCCTCTGTGCCAGGCCATGGTGTGGGCCAGGGATACAGAAGAGACCCAGAGGGGTCCTTGGGAATCAGGACGTCCTCTAGCAACCCTTCTGCCCTCTCTGAGCACTGGCCGTACTGGGCTGGTTCTGGACATGCGCACTGTGGATCCTGCGCCTGCCACCCCAGGGCAGGCGCTGTGAGCCCTGTGTGTGAGGGTGCTCCATCCTCCTGCATCCAGCTCATGGCCAGGAGCAGGGTCCCTGAGGGGGCGGCCCGGAGAAGATTGGGAGATGATTGTGCCTTTTTCTCTTAACAGGGAGGACCTGCTTCTGTCTGATTTCTGGAGTCTGGCACTAGGTGGGTACCAAGAGGCCAGGGCTGGGTGGAGGGTGTGGGAGGAGGGCCTGAATGTGGGCGAAGAAAGGAGTCCAGTCCACATTTGGTGAGATTTTTGTTCACAGAGCTGGGTTCTAATTCTGACTTCCTGCTCACAGCCGTGTGTCTTGGCACTTACTAGCCCTGAGCCTCAGTTTCTGTATCTGTGAAAGGGAGGTGACAGCGTGCACCACATCTGTGGTGTAATTTTGAGGATTAAAAGAGGCTGTTTGGTGAAGTGCTCAGGACAGTGCTTGCCTGGGCACGGAAGGCTGTCAACATCCATTGCCATTGTCATTGTTGATATCTATTCTTGCTGTGCTCTTTGCCTCAACATTGCCACGTAGACCTGTTTCTCCCCGTGCAGTTGTAACCTCTTCCTAAATAGTCTGTGGCAACATAAATGTTAATACGGGGAGGGAACGGACAGCAGTTAGAATTTTTATTGAGGGACATTTTGTTTGTTTCCTTTGTTTTTTTAGTTCTTACATGTAACTGTTTGGTGAGCACCTTTATGCGTAAAGCTCTTACCAAATACAGGATGATTATCCTCTCGGGACATATTCCCAGAAGTGGACTTCTTCAGTGACAGGCAGTGACCAGCTTGATATCTGCTGTCAAATTTCTCCCAAAAAGCTTCCACCAGGACTTTCAGCAGCAAGGACTGAAAGAGCCAGTTCTGCATGCAGCCTTTCCGAGCCGGGGGTCTTATTTCAAGATAGCTTTGCAGCAAGGGAAAATCGGTGTCTTACTGTGGGAACGTATGGCCCTTTGCTTTTTGTTTTGTGTACAGATTTGTTCAAAAAAATTCAGTGCCAGTGTAATAAAATGAGAGATAAGAAGAACCCACTGCCGTGTGAGAAGATTTAAACGAGTGTATTTTGTTAGACTCCAAGAGCCCCAGCCTTTTTTTCTTTGAACTTTTGACATGAAATATTCCTATCCCCAGCCGTTTATAGTGTGATTTTGAGAGCTCTGTTCCTCTGTTCTTTGTTATAATCAAAAAGTAGGTACTTCAGAGCATACCCCACATTTACCAGGTACCTCCTACTAAATTAGACACAGTTCACATTACAGTTCTGGGTGGAAACTGTGCCCATAAATGAAGCCTATTTTTTTTGCTGGAACATTCTCAGGGGTTGCAGGTGTGGGGGGGGGGGGGCATGCAGGGACCCGGGACAGCCTGTGGTGCTTGTGGGCCTGGCCGTACCTCCCAGGCATGTTTGGGAGTGAGGCCCGCGGCCTTCTCCCTGAGGAGCTGAAGCCTTTCCCAACTTGTCCCTTTTCTCCCTGGATCTGTGGACTTCGGTGACGGATCCGGTTCACTGGGTCAGAGCACGCCCTCTGACTGTGTTCCGGGGGCCTGCTCTTTCAGAAACCATCAACGGCTGTCTTACAAAACATCTGGAACAACTGAAGGCCCCTGAGGGGACTCTTCCGGAAGCCCTTGGAAACCTGCATCTTGACTCCTCGCCAGATGAGGCTGCTGTGACTCCCGGCTCCATCCCAGGGGAGTCCCCAGTCCCGGGAACCTGCCGCTTGAAGTGTGTATGTTACGGCATTGGGAATTTTGCCACCTGCGTCATAGCTAGATACCAGCTCACGTTTTTGCTTCTCTTCCTGGAAAAGTGCCAGGTACATTTTTGTATTCTTCTTGATCAGTTCCCCGTAGGTCTTGCACACGGTCTGCACACAGATCTTTGGGTTGATAGAACTCATTCTTCCCTTCCGCAGATTCCCAGAAGGCACTGCTGGGTGTTCGACCCTCTGTTTAGCCAACTAGAAATCACGGTTCTGAATACGCTCGGTGTGACTGTTCTCAGCGAGAACGAGGTGAGTGGCTTGGGGCAGGGGAACGGGAGGGCCGTGTGCCTGCTGACCGAGGGGGAGCCCAGACTGTGCCCCATGGACGCACCTGCTCTGCAGTAGCTGTCGTTCTCTCCCACTGCCCACTTGCCTTCCCGGCGCCTGTCACGGGACCCGTCAGTGCCCCACATCGTGGCCTAGGTGGTGCCCGTCACAAAAAAAAAACAAACAACAAATGGCGTGGCCTGAAACCTGTTATATTTGCAAAATTCTGGTGAGAATCCCGTGTCCAGGATCCTCTGGTAATTTCCTAAGTTGGTACTTACTGTTGGTGTTAAAAAATAAAGGGGTGCGCAGTCTCGGTGCCTCACATGGCCTCCTTCTGGTTGGGATTTACCCTGTGCTAGGGGAGGTCAGAGAAGGGGACAGAACATCTCTCTTTGCACAGTAGCCCAGTCACACCCATAGCATCTGGCTGTGAGCTGTGGGTAGATCGTGCGCCCTGGGGTGAAATTGTGAGACCCGGAACAAGATCATCTCACCAGCAGGGGCCTGAAGCCAGTGGAGGGACACACCGCTGCAAGCCGCTTTGCTTTGCTGGGGGGATTACAGAATGATCATTTGATCCCTGTCCGTGTTCGAAAATGGCCAAGTCATTATTGTGAAATCTGAAAATCAGGCCCCGCTGAGAGAAGAGAATCCTTCACCAATGTTGGCGGGGCCATGAAACCCTGCCCCTCCACTCACGTCATCTTTCCTGAGTGCCTGCTCTGTGCGGGGCAAGGACTTTGGCGGGAGGCCAAGATAGATGCAGTCCCAGTGTCCAGGGGCCCAGGTTCCCATCAGGGCGTGTGGCCTGTCAACAAGTACGTGGTGAGCGGAACAGAGAGGGGAAGGCACTCCGCGCCGTTTGAGGGGCTGGAGGAAGGTTTTCTGGGTCGGCGCTGGGATTGCAAGCCCACCAGGAGTTGGCCGGATGGACCCAGGCTGGCTCCTGCCTGTTTGTGGTGAACAGAAGGGAGGAGCGTGCAGAGCGGAGAGGCCCAGGGGAGGCAGGGCCTGCATCCCTGCCACGGGTCCCGCTGTGGAGCCACGGTCCTCAGGAGGGGCCGTTGTGTCCCCCAGGGGACATTTGGAAGGGACTGACTGTGATAGGCGTCTGCAGAAAGGGACCCAGGCGGCCCGGAGGCTGACCAAGCACAGTCCATGGGGACAGTAACCGTGGCCACCCGTCCTGCCCTTGCTGTCTCGGAACCAAAAAGCCCCTCTGCTGAAGCAGAGCTTCCTGTGTTTGTGGGGCCCACATCTGTTCAGTAAACACAAGTTCTTTCTGGACCTCACCATTTCCCGACTTTGGGGCCCACATCATCTGTGAATTTCAGGCCACGTTATAACCTAACTGTTGGCGAAGGAAGGGCTTTGTTTCCACGCGGTGTCGGCGTGCCTCCCTCACAGCTGCTGGTTTCCTGCAGAGGGGCTGCTGTAAGGGACGCAGGAGTCCGTGGAAGTCTCAAGGCGTGCGGCGTGACCCGCCACACGTGCTGAACTGCGCACAGCAAGGGTGGCTAGCGTGGGCCCCTCGCGTCAGTACACGGTGATCACTTCGTGGTGAGGGCTCCGCCCCTCCCGGATGTGCCCCCCACGCCCACCTCCCGGGAGGAGCGGAGGGGCTCGCGCTGTGGCTCTCACCACGCGGCCGTCCCCGCAGGAAGGCAGACGGAGCGTCGGCGGCGAGCCCACCGTCTTCTACATGCCCCACTGCGGCACAGCCCTGTACAACAACCTTCTGTGGGGAAACTGGTTGGTAGACGCCCTCGCCAAGATGCTCATCATCGGGAACAGCTTCAGAGGACTCGAGGAAAGGTGAGCCTGGGCGTGCAGAGGTCCCGCCAGGCCGGGGCGGGGGCCTTCCCGACAGACCCACACGCAGGAGACCCTGCTGGTCCATAGGAAAGCGGACAGGGTTAGACGGGGACACCAGCCCCCAGTCAAGCTGCAGAGTTAAGACCTGTTTGCCAAGAATTCCTCCCTTCCCTTAGGACGTACAAGTGTTTTCTAAAAGTGGGGGAAACCATTTGCTCTCAGCTGCACACGCCTTAGGTGTCCGCCGTCACTCCTCCCTTGGCAGAAGGGGTGGTGATGGGGCATTCACGTTTTCTACGGATTACTGAACCCACTGCACGTTCCCTTTTTAAAATGTTTGCTGTCTTTAAACTACTTTGCATTTCTGCAATGTCTTAAGTTAGATAAAACCCTCCCATACCTCCTAATCATGCTGGGCTTGTTGTTTGTTTTTTTAATTTCTAGGTTGCCGGCCAGGATTCTACAGAAAAATTATTCCTACATTGCAAAGGTATCTGTGTAAACAAAAGGGCTGGGATGGAAAAGGGTGTGAAACCAGACCATTTCCCCGTTACTGTGAATTCTGCCTTACACGTTTGGGAGGAAGCTCATGAGGGGCTCACTGAGGGCAGGGGGAAGTTACTGTAGTCCACCAGCTTTCTCGATAGCTCTGTGTTCCAGGAAGCAAGGACCTGTCCTTCATTCTCGGTATCAGTCCCACATACTCACCGCCCTTGGAGTTTCCAGTTCATCACAGAAGCTCTAAATCAACATATCCTAGTCCTTATTTTCTTTTTTTAAAAAGGGTAATCTGGGGGTGACCAATAAATGGCACCCATTAGTGTGGGGTTTACTGTGACTGTCAGGGTTGTGTATTTACACTTGAACTTTCCTGCTTAGATTTTAGAAGGACTGGAGGAGCGTCAGCTGCCTGAGACTTCGCAGTACACGGACATATTTAACGATACCTCCATCCACTGGTTCCCCGTACAGAAGCTACAACAACTGCCCACGGATACATGGGCGTTTCGGGAAGAGCCAGACTATGAGGACTGCGAGGACCTTGAAATCATCAGGAACAAGACAAGAGCTCCTTCAGCTGCTGACGTAAACTCGCTGTGACGTGCTGGCTGAGGCAGAAGCAGCTGCCACCAGAGATGACCAGGAGGGTGGCCACGGAGGGTGCTGTGGAAGGGCTCAGTATAAAGACTGATGCACCTCTCTGTAGCCGTACGTTTCATGTCCTTTCTTGGCGACCTGACCGGGAATATCTCCGGGGTGGAGAGTAACTACTCTTTCTAAGGCAGTTTAAAATACCATTTATTCATGAGCATGTCCCCTCTCTGGTGCAAGGTCCAGCCTGCCCCCTCTACTTGGCCATGTCAATCAGGCTCTGCAGGGAGGTGGGCACCCACGTCTTCTCGCCCTGGACGAACACCACTCCCCGGTCGATGTAGATGACGATGCGGCCAAAGGTGTAGAGCTGCTTCCCTTCGTGTCGCTTCCCGATGACCGGCATGAACACGATGTTGTGCTCCTCAGCCTTGGTCTCAATGAGGTCCTTAAAGTTCATGGGCACGGAGCTGGCAGCCACGCCGATGCCCCTCTGGGCCATGTTCTCAGCCTCCCGTCGCTCCTGCATGGCCTCGTACTGGAAGTCCTTCCTCCGCTCCGTGTGCGTGAGGTAGGCTATGTTCTCCCGCGCTCCGGGCTGCATGTAGGCACCTGGGAGAGCCAGAAGGGCGGGGGGTGAGGAGAGGGGTTCCAACCGCACAGAAACGCACACGGATTTGGCCAACCCCACTTGTGACTCAGCGAGGGGCAGCTGGGCCTCAGACACAAAGCACGAAGGCAGATGGCAAGTAGCTTCGGCAAGTTCAGACCACTCCTGCTTTCGTACAAAAATTAGTCTGGAGGTTTCTGGCTAATGGTAGTAACCAGAGAAATGATTCACAGGAATTACTACAAGAGACTGATCCTTCCAGGACTGGAAACCTTGACAACACACGGCCTAGCCTAGTTCTATTTTTAGCTTCTCCAATAGAGGCCCCAGCCCTGGAAGATATTAGAATGCATTTGGGGAGCTCAGATAGATGCTGAAGGACAATACAGGGCCACAAGTGTCCAGTGCTGAGGGAAAGAGATGGGAACAGCTCTAGGAGGCGGCGTGGGGCCGGGGCAGCCGAGGGAGAGTTTCTAGAGAGTATGAAAATGGGGATGGCCCACTGAGGGACCCGGATGAGAGAGAGCGGAGAAGTCTATCTGCCTCGTTCAACAGAATATATACTCTCTGAACTCTCTCTTCATGTAATAGGCTCAAAGGACTAAAGGTTCAGGAAACAGAAATTACAGTCCCACCTGCCATTCTCGCTGTGTGACCTTGAACTAGCTCTCGGCCTTGTGGAGCTTCTCTGTGAAGCAGGGCTGGCCTGGGTACCACAGTGGCCTTTGTGTTGCGATGCAAGCACACTGACCCAGGCAGTGACTCACCTGGTCAGAAGCTGGGGATGGGTATTACGGGGACAGTCACCTGCCTACTTCTGAGACAACAAAGACACCACTTGCAAAGCGGTCTCCAGACTGGCTCACTTCACCCCTCTAGGTTTTTAAGAACATCTAGAAGTAGGCACTATGACTGTTTCACAAGTAAATAAAATAGGCCAGGCGAGGAGAGGCAACTGCTAGGGGTCAGGCTGTACCCCGGCTCTGTGTGGGAGCTGTTCCACTCACACAGCGCACTGAGCTCCTCACAGGTGTGCCAACGAGCCTGGAAGGGGGCCCTAGAGGCAGGCTCCCCCCTAGTGTGAATCCGGCTACACTCAGACTCAGGGCCCTATGCCCCTCCCAGTGCCAGCAGAGCTGGGCAGGGGGTCTGGTGGGGCAGAGTCGTGTTGGAGCGGACAGCCCACAGGCACCCGGAAACTCTTGCTTCTGTGTCATTTACGTGTTCAGAAATGCGGCGCTCAGGACCAGGACATCCAAAGAGGCAGAATCCCTACTCACCAACGTTGGAGGACACTGCCCTGTTCATGATGTCAAGTGCTTCGTTAAATTTGTCCTTGACAGATGGGTGTGCCAGCACTTGGTCTGAGAACATGGACTTCCAACCCAGGTACCACTTGGTGATCTCCTCATAATTCGGGCTGTTACTGAGCCAAGAGCATAGCACCTGCCAAAAAGAAATCGGAAACTTGCATCCACAATGGGGGCGAATGGGAGCAAAACTTCCCAAGGGGCCGTTTGTTTTGTTTTGATCGTGGTCCTATAAGCTGGTCACACTCATAGGGGTTTACAGGGGCCGAACAGAAGCATTCAGAATGTAGAATTTGGAGTCAGCTTGGCAGCTACGCACTCCTGAATGTAAACTCCCTGAACCTCGGCCTCTAAACAACAGGGCTACGACAGTTCCCCCCACCCCCACCCTAAAGGTGTGGTGTGAGGAGTGGGGGGAACGCGCAAGAGCTGCTTAGCATCTGGCACATGGCGTATGTTCACAAGTGGTGGTTGCTGGGATTACTGCTCAGTTTTGTTCTGGGTGATAGCACAACCTGACAACTGTCCAGGGATCAAGCTCCTACAGTCAGACAGACGTGGGCAGAAAATTAAGTGTAATCCTCCCTGCCTCCATCCCACCCCGCCCCCCAAAGTTAGCAAAGGAGGGTGTACCTGAAGCCACTTAGGGAAGAAGTGTTTCTCGAGCAGCCCCACCAGGCTGGACACCGAGATCATTCCTTCCCAGTCGATGACCCAGTAAAAAGCATCCATGTGCTGCTGGTGGGGGTTAATGACCAACTCCCCGAGACACATCCCTGCAAAAGCAGCCCAGGCTTTAAGGCAAAGTCACAGAAGCACAGAGCAAAATCCTCACTGGACAACACTGGCCTAAAAATCTGCTTTTATCCATCAATTTTAAGCTCTTGACATGGCAATTCTTAAAAACCTTTTCTTCTATAACCCAGAAATAACTAACATGTACTTAAAATCAAATACCACAAAAATCTCAGAACACCAGTGCCTCGCATGTTACCAGAAGCCCAAACCAGACCAATGAGGAACCAGGAGGGGCTGCAGAGTCTGAGGCTGCCGACGCCATCAGAACCCCGGGTACATTCATGTTCCACCTCTGAGCGCAAACGGCACTCCTGGGGCGAGCAATACCGCGTCTTCGGCTTTCTCGTGGAGCTCCAAGCCCGCATTTCAAGGAGCACGGATCCTTACCGCTGGCCAGAGAAACCAGCGCACCAAAGCTGATGGACCTAATGCCCTTTCCCCATTTCCTCACCCAGCTTGGGTACTATGTTCTTGACCATGAACGCTTCCCAGGAGCCCGGGGTGAACACGTCTTTCCAGGGCTGCAGGATGAGCTTGGCGGACGAGTCGCTGGGGTGCCACTTCTGCAGGGCGCTGGACAGCTTGCTGCGGATGGGGGAGTAGAGGGGCTCCAGGCGCGCTTGCATGAGGGGCAGCCACGGGTGGACCCAGGAGTGGATAGGCACAGTGTCTGTCAGCGGGTTCCAGTTTTCCACCTGCAGAAGGCGTGGGACAAAGCAGCAGTTCCAGGTGCACCGTGTGGCCAAAGGCACGAAGGCCCAGAGGCCTCTGCACAACCAAACTAATATCCCCG